GGAAAGTCAGTTTCCATCCAACTCTACGCAGAAATTCTACAGATTCGTACTTCAAATAAGAAGTATGTACTTATCCTTGAAATTCATAAATTTTTCTCAATTAGAAAAAAGAAACATCGAATAGTTCTTATTCGCCGGATCCGGTTGTTGGAACGGCGCAATCCGGACTCCATACCCGGTTTAAAAACGGCCAGATCCTGGCTACGTATCTAGATCGGAAACTATTCATATTCCTTCGTTTCCGATCGTCAAAAAGAAACGATCGGAGACGTACTCCGGAATCCTGCTGTAAATGGAAATTATCGGAAACGTAGTACGGAATCCTGTTGTAAACGGAAGCAGTATCCGCTTATCGGTTCCGGAACCAGGATAGTTAGCAGGAAATACCTTGGAAACAGAGACCGGAAAACTATTCGGAATACTGCTTCCGGAATTCGATGGAAAATCACCGGATCAGGCAGTTTCCCACCGTACGTATTTGACCTGGGATATAATTCAACATAAGGTTAGACTATACGGAATTTACTTTTGCAGTTTTTTCTGCAAAAGTGAATTTCGTCAAAATGGTAGTCTCTCTTTATATTCATTGTGTAGTTATTTTCGCTGCTGTTAAAAACAAATGGTTAAGAAATATTGTGTTTGAACGTAATTTTTAAAGAATAATTATATAACACAAAAGCTCTTCTTAATTAGCAGTGTTTGATGAGAGAGACAGTTTTGTTTCTTTTGACAAAACACTGCGGTGCGGTACGTCATTTTGAATATGATGATTATTTTAACAAACACAAGCAGCTATATTCGTTTTTCCTATCATCTACAAAAAATACTCAATTCAACAACTAGATTTAAATATTCCACTTCAAGCTTTTATTTCGTCTAATTCAATTTCATTCAATGTTATAGGTAATGTTCTATAATAGAAAACGTTAATCAATCGCGAACTCGACTGTCCGACTATGAAAAAATGTCTCTGATCCTAGAAAGGTGTAGAAATATCAATAAGAAACAATTTATCTAGAGAATATTGGCAAATATGTAAAATTGATTAGTGACAAGTAGAAACATTTTTTAGAGTTTATTTCTACGTAAATATTACTAATAGTCATTAATGTTGCAAGATACCAAGTGTTGTCAACGATATTGGATCGGTATGTTCTAAAGCTTTTTCGTTTATTAAAAAAGAAATTTCCAACTAATTCTTGAGCAATATTATAAAAAAAATAAGTTACTTTTTTTTAGTGCATATGAGGTTTGTACCTAATAAATATAAATATATAAAGTTATCTGCTATTTGAGATATCTCCAACTTTATTTTTTGAAAAGAAATTCACAATCGATGACTCGAAAACTAATTTATATACAAAACCTTTTATATCTATATGACTGCCTCCTTACAACTGCAGTTTCTTAAATAATGTTTTTATGTTATAGATGGAAGATAACACCATGAATAATGATAGTTCTATTACTGTTGAGCGTTCACTAGATCAGCGAGTTGCTAACTTTAACGATGGTCAATGCAAGAACGTAGCAAAAAACCAACCTAGCTCAAAAAACATTTTAAATTTTATTGGCAACCTGAACAAGTCACCAATGAATTCACAATTTTTGTAAGTATATATCTTTCAATGTTTTTTTATAATCACATTTATAGAATATTTTCCTTAGGAAATATTCACTGTGGTCAAGAGGCCGATTTGCAAAAGCTGTGGGTACATCGGTTATTTTTACAATCATAGCGTTGACTGTTGGTGTACTAATTATTTCTTTCACTTCACCAAAAGCGACTCGTATGTTCTTTTAATATTGTTATACAAACCATTCTTTTGTACGTGACGTAAAGTTTCATCGAAGATATTTCTCAAAAACCGCAAATAGATAGATCTTTACATTTCTTAACTTCATCTTCACTAATATATTGTGGTATAATCATGTAGAAAGAGTGAGTCAATTGACCTGTATTCCCTTAAGTATTTTCATGTAGTTATGTTCATCGCTATTCTCAAGGTTTCATTGCATAAATCCTTATATTTTGTTTGTTATTAGAATTATCAGTCAAAAGTACTGATTGAATCGCTGATTGCATTTCCCAAACGAACAGTTTTTATATTCATTTAATTCTGTAGCTATGATATATGTTTTTAGCGAATTCTGCAGCGCATGCAAGTGAAAGAGAAGGAACAAAGTAGTGACCCGAAATATTAAAAGCATAAATCAGATTCTATATGAACTAGAAGAAACTGAGTGAACCTCTTTAAAATGATATTTACAATTGTTTACAAGTAGATTACCAAATCTACCTTTGATATAATATATTGTAGAACTTTTCAAGGCTCTTAGAGCTTATCACTTTTCATGCGTTGTTTAGTTCAAAAGTGCAAACTAAATTTCATAGCAACGTCTCCCGCTCCAATTGATTACAACTATGGACGTCGATCTGTCGCCGCTGGTGATTTCAATAACGATACTTGGTTGGATTTGGTTGTTGCAAATCACATCGTTAACAATATTGCTATTTATCTTGGACATATGGATGCCACTTTTTCCAATAAAAAAGAGTACACAACAGGTACCGGATCAACTCCGTACATGGTTGCCATCGGTGATTTTAATAATGATGATCGATTAGATATTGCAGTGGCAAATTTTGGCGCTAACAATGTTGGTATATTTCTTGGATTTGGGAACGGCTCTTTCAAGGCACAAATAGAACTTTCAACTACTTCAGCTCGTCCAATTGCGATTTCTCTAGCTGATTTCAATAACGACAAGTCGCTTGATATTGTCACTGCTGATTATGGCACTCATAGTATAAGTATATTCTATGGATATGGCAATGGCTACTTTTCGACGCCAATTAGATATTCAACAGGCTATGATTCTTTTCCTTCTGCATTGGCCATTGGAGATTTCAATAACGACCACTATTTAGATCTTGCCGTTAGCAATTATTGTACAGATAATATTGGTATATTCCTTAGCAATAAAAATGGCACTTTTACAAATCAAATAATATTTTCAACTAGCCACGATTCTCATCCATATTCAATTGCTATTGGCGATTTCAATGATGACACCTTCCTCGATATAGCTGTTGCTAATCATGGAATTAATCAAATAGGCATACTTATAGGTAATGGCAACGGAAATTTTGTAAACCAACTCAATTATTCCACAGATCCTGCTTCTCCATACTCGATTGGCTCAGGTGATTTCAATCAAGACGATCAATTGGATATAATCATCACAAATTATGGAACTAACAATATAGCCTTATTTCTTGGTTATGGAAATGGGACTTTTACCAAACCGATCTTGTATTCAACTGGAGCTTTTTCTTCGATATCATTTGCTATAGGAGATTTTAACAAAGATCATCGTCTCGATATTATTGTCGTTAATAATGACACTGGTACCATAGATATTCTTCTTGGTTACTTCGAAGGCTTTTCAAGCCCACTGGCGTATTCAATTAGCTCTGGTCCACTGTATATAGCTGTTAATGATTTCAATAACGACACCAAACTTGATTTAGCTGTGGTTGATGAACAAAGCAGCGATGTGAGTATTCTTCTCGGATATGGTAATGGATCGTTTGCAGATAGAATTGTGTATTCAACTGGTTCTTGGCCACAATCTGTAGCTGTTGGTGACTTTAATAACGATACTCGAATAGATCTAGTTGTTGTCAATATGGATAGCGATGATGTGAGTATTCTCCTGGGATATGGTAATGGCTCTTTCGAAAAACAAACCAGATATTTGACTGGCTCTTCTCCCTATTCTGTAGCTGTTAGTGACTTCAACAAAGACAAAAGGTTGGATCTTGTTGTCGCCAATGCGGGTGACAACAATATAAGTATCATGCTAGGATATGGTAATGGGTCATTCCAAAATCCTATCATGTATTCAACTGGCTCTTCGCCAAAATCGGTCGCTGTTGGCGATTTCAACAGTGACATGCAACTAGATATTGTTGTTGCCAATTCTAATAGCGGTGATCTGAGTATACTTCTTGGATTTGGTAATGGATCATTCAGAAATCAAACCTTGTATTCAACTGGCTCTCTTCCACTGTCTTTAGCTGTTGGTGACCTCGACAATGACACCCACCTGGATGTCGTTGTGGTTCACGCAGGTAGTAATGATGGAAATGTTTTCCTTGGTTATGGCAATGGCTCTTTTGAAAATCCAATCAGATTTCCCATTGGCTCTTATCCATCGTCTGTAGCTGTTGGTGATTTTAACAACGATGCTCGCCTGGATATTGCTGTCACCAATCTTGTTGGAAAAGCTGTTAGTATCCTTCTTGGTTATGGTAATGGCTCATTTGAGAATGAAATCGCATATTCAACTCTATTTTCGCCGTATTCTGTAGTTGTTAGTGATATCAATAACGATCATAGATTAGATATCATTGTTGCAAATCCCGATAACGACAATATCAGTATATTCCTACAAGATACCAACAGAATCCTTGAAGACGAAATGAGCTTTTCATCTGGTGATGCCTCTGATCTACGATATGTTGTTGTTGCTGATATGGATAATGATAATCAACTTGATATTATTGTGGCTAATTACGGAACTAATAATATAGGCATTCTTTTTGGCTATGGAAATGGGGCTTTCTTAAAGCAAATGATGATTAGTACTGACTCGAATTCTCACCCATCATGCATCGCTATTGGTGATTTCAATGGTGACACTCAACTGGATATTGCGGTGGCAAATGATGGCACAAAGAATACAGATATTTTTCTTGGAAATGGCAATAGAACGTTTCAACGTCAGGCAATGGGTATCCTTCGTTTTGTTTCTAATCCAATCGCCATAGCTTCAGCTGATTTCAACAATGACAACCGATCTGAAATTGTTGTTGCATACAACGAAAATGATAATGTAAATATTCTTGATGCATACAACAGTGGATATTTTCTAGATAGAATATCCTATCCAACTGGATCTGTTCCATTCTCTGTAGCTGTTGGAGATTTTAATAACGACACCCAACTGGATCTTGCCGTCGTCAATGGGAACGACAATGATATGAGTGTTCTGTTTGGATTTGACAACGGATCTTTCGCTCGTCAAATCCAGTTCTCCACTGGATTTTATCCACAATCTGTAGCTACTGGTGACTTCAACAATGACACACAGCTAGATATCGTTGTTGCCAATGGTGGCAGCAATGATGTTAGTGTTCTTCTTGGATATGGTAACGGTTCATTCGCAAATCAAATCAAATATTCAGCTGGTTTTTTTCCACAATTTGTAGTTGTTACTGATATTAACAATGACAATTGTTTGGATATCGTTGTGGCCAATGGTGGGAGCAATGATGTCAGCATCTGTTTTGGATATGGTAATGGTTCTTTTTCAAATCAAATCAACTATTCAACTGGTCTTTATCCCAAGTCTGTAGCTTTAGGTGACTTCAACAAAGACAAATATCTGGATATTGCTGTTGCAAATGGAGGTGGAAACACTGTAAGTGTTCTTTTTGGATCCGAAAATGGTTCTTTTGCAAGTCAAAACGACTATCTAACTGGTAGTTACCCATTTTCTGTAGCGATTGGTGATTTCAACAATGATAATCACTTGGATATCGTTACTGCTAATTCAGGTAGTGATGATATGAGTGTTCTTCTTGGATATGGTAATGGGTCGTTTGTCAATGAAACCAGATATTCAACAGGTACCGTTCCATTGTTTCTGGTTGTTGCTGATTTCAACAATGATAACCAACTGGATATCATTGTCGCCAACCGTGGTAGCAGTAATGTAAGTGTTCTTCTTGGATACGGTAATGGCTCCTTTGCCAATCAAATTACGTATTCAACTGGATCATCGCCGTTTTCGATAGGTGTTGGCGATTTCAATCAGGACAACCGATTGGATGTCGTAGTCGTCAATAGTTATACTGATGAAGTCAATATTCTACTTGGAACTATTAATATAGAGTTGGTACAACGAAACACACTTGTGACAGACAATGGTTCACGACCAAGATCATTTGTGGTGGGCGATTTTAATAGCGATTCTAGAATGGATATTGCACTGGCTAATTCAGGTTCTCAAAATATTGAAATTTTTCTCGGATGCGGTAATTTGTCTTTTATCAGTCATGCAATATATTCAGTTGGTGTTAACCCAATTTCAATAGCTGCTGGTGATTTTAATAACGATAGTCGACTGGATCTTGTCGTAGCTAACTATGGTTCTGACAGTGTGAGTATTTTTATGGGAAATACTGATGGATTTTTTGCAAATCAAATAGCCTATTCAACTGGTGCTGGATCTTTTCCATCCTCTGTGGCAGCTGCTGATTTGAACAATGACAACACAGTAGATATTGTTGTTACTAATCAAGGCACCAATAGATTAGGTGTATTCCTCGGATTTGGTAATGGAACATTTTCAAATATAATTCTATTTTCGATGGAACACGGATCAGATCCATTTTGTGTTATCACGGGTGACTTTAACGATGACAGAAAACTTGATTTTGCCGTTGCAAATAATGGCACTGACAGTATATCTATTTTTTTACAGAGTTGTTAATTTAGAATTTATACTATACTATTTTATTTTTCTTGCCTATTGATTTAAAGGTGTGCAACTACTCTCAGTGCAGTCGACACACATCCCTGTTTCAAACTTCTCTTATAAAATCATACAGCAACATTACTACTTTCAGAATCAAATGTATTACGAATAACACATGTGATCTCCAGCTTATTCTTGAGGATATTTATACTCTTTATACTGAAAGAAAATTATTGTGAGTTTGAGATAAATGGTCAACATTGACTAATCTAGATTTCAACATAAAATACTATATAATTAACAAAATAAGTTATCCGAACATTAAGAAATCGAATGATTTCATTTGAATTTTTAGTTCATAAATAATAAAGTGTTTAAAATTGAAACTTAAAATGTTGACATGATAGCTAGTCAACTTCGCACTCGTATATGAATCCTATCTGGAAAATATTGTTTTATATAGTGTAAATATTGGAACGATATACGAAAAGTTACTCTGATTTCTATATCATATCTTCACGTTTCTTTCAAAGATATGGAAATTATAGGGATCGATTTAAAATCCATAAATTATCTTTCATAGATTTTGAGATTTGAAATTGAGTTAGCACATGCAAAATATATCTGGCCATGATACTAAAGTAATGATCTAAGTCAACAAACTCCGGCTCAAGCACGATTATCAGAACATATCCATTCATTGGCATTTTGAGTGGTGAAAACTTTGAAAGATGGTATTACACTTCCTTTAGCGTCTCTCACGACCATTTTTCTGTGAAAATCTACACTTACTTGTGTATTGATTTCATCACTTTTATTTCGTGTATGTAAGCATTTGTTTGCCCCAGTTTGTTTTATCAGAAATCAGCTCACAACTCACTTGTATCTATGAGTTGCCTAATTCGAATTCGATTATAAATGAAGAATGAAGTAATCATTACCACTTCGAATATAATTTATAAAAAAAAAACGACCGCACCCATGTTAATTGCAGCAAAGAAGCAAAAGAAAAAGTTTCATTTATAAATTTATAAGTAAAACTTTTTCTTTTGCTTTTTTGCTAAAATAACATGGAAGTGGCGTTTTTTCCGTTTATTTTCGAACTCGAATTAGACATCTACTCTGTCAGACTGAACTCAATAAAGATAAAGCAAAAGGTAAATTCAAGAAAGATATTGAAGCTCGATGCAGTGCTTTAAATTATTTTGTCTTTCTTTGTGGATTTTTATTTATATTCATTTCCAACATGGCTGTATGGGTGTCAATGTCAATTTGATTGATATCAACTTTTCTTTTTTCTTTGACTTTATAATATTTTTTCCCTATAATACGATCGTTATAATTAAAACAGAAGCATTGTACACTCTCAAGAGTAAATAAAATAAAACACAGAGAATGACATGGTTACACTATGAAACAAAGTTTTATAACTAAATAGGAATCATTGATTAGATATAAATTTGTTGAGTTTAGGATGGATTTAAGGGGTATGAGCTTTATGAATGAGAGGTCGAATATAGAAAGAAAGAAACAAGCGATGCAATATCAAATTAATCAGCGCAACTAGATTCACGATGCTCGACGCATTACCTTCTACTTGGTTAAAAACAACTTTTCTGATAGAACCAAGACGGGTTTAAACAATCCCATCCGAATACAAGGCCCAACAAATTTTAAGAGAAAACCATTTTATTTTAGAAAATATCAATAGCAACGATACATAATTGAGCTTTTCAATTATTTTGAACTTTATTTTTCAAAGCAATCAAAAGTCTCAAAGTTACGAAGAAAAACATAAAACTATATGTGTGCACGAACGTGGATCGATGACAGTGAGGGGGAAGAGTAAAGAAAATAGAAAATTTTCATCTATTTGTGAAAAACATTTTGTTGTAATTATTTAACACAAAGCAAATTTGCTTCTCTACTGAGCCGAATGTTTTTTTAAGATAATATTTAATGACCATACGTTTCAAGTATACCAACCAACAAAATATCGTCCATAATCAAACGAAGAAAGAATTATGAAACTAAATACAGGTTATATTTATAAAAGATATTTTTTCTGAATTTCACTAAGTAACTTGGACAATCATAAATCGAATTTTTGCTTTTCCACGCAAGTGCGTGAATGTGCGTATGAGGGAGGGTGTCGGGCAACGATTCATAACTTGCAACACTTTTAGGAGCATTGCTTTTCATTCAGTGCATGAAACATGCTCACCCATACCCACAACATACTTCTGATCTTTGTGGCGAATACTGGCAGAGTGAAAAATAATAGTTTCTAATTTCGATCTTCAACTCAGAAACGATATTTTCTATTTGATGATTATCATTCAACGTTTCATCTATTGAGAGATGTCACTATCGTGCGACCTTTGTTTTTCTAAATTTTTCACTGGAATACATATGATCGTTTGCTGATTTAATTAATCAATTTTTCTTCTATGCTCAAAATTCATTATGATATAAGAGAAAATTCGAGTTTTTCAAATCGATTTATTATCCAACGATCTCATATTCACCATGATGGCCACATGACAAGCAAGTAAAAATGGATGATATAGATCAATGGCTAGTAGTTTCATTTCATATCATATGCATATCATTTGGTTTTTTCCTGTTTATGAAAATAATTCTATCGTTTATTTTTTTATTCTTTTTTGAAAATTAGATAATAAAACTTCCTCGTCGGAACAATGACGAAGGGTACACAATCATTCGGCAAACGTAATTGCAAGACTCATACGTTGTGTCGCCGATGTGGTCGCTCATCATATCATTTACAAAAAAAGAGTTGTTCCTCTTGTGGATATCCATCAGCTAAAACACGTAAATTTCAATGGAGTGAAAAAGCTCGTCGTCGACGAACAACAGGAACTGGTCGAATGAAACATTTAAAAGTGGTTTTTCGTCGATTTCGAAACGGTTTTCGTGAAGGAACATTAGCCAAATCACGTAAAGGACAACGACAAGCCACTGGAACTGCAACAACAACTGCTCCAGCTACAACAAAATAATAAATAGTGAACGAATATAATGGATTGTTTTGTTGTAAACCATTCGGTAACACTACCACTTATATAAGAAGAAATTAAAATAAAAATATAACAAAGATCATTTTGTTTAATAGTTTTTCTCTTTGGAGATTTTCTTCCTTTTCAAACATGTATGTGTGCTTCAATGATTTAAATTTTTATCACTGAAAAATTCATGTGGATTAAAAATACTACTTGAATTTCTTCAAATGAGAAGCACATCATCGATTTCTACTAATATAGTTGCTTGAAAGAAAATCAACTGCATATTATTCGAGTTTTTATTCATGCAAAACATGTTAACCTTTTTTAAATTGATATTATTTACTATTTATTGAACGCAACAAAGATGAACATATTATTGTCTCGTTCGTATGAAACAAACAATGATTAATAAAATAATTCATTGACGTTCTGAGTTGCGTTATCGTTAAGTAGTTTTGTTTTTAAAAGTAATTGGCTTCTCATGAACGTAAGTTTTTCATCAAGAGAGAACTTATTCTCTCAGGCCATTATTTTCATTGTGTATTCGATAATCATCGAAGCCAATATGCTTTGACCGAGACTCGATCTTTCTATATTATCAATTTTAACTATTCAACTAAATCATTTCAGATGGAAAACGTTATTAATTCATTAAAAAGTACTGCCTTAAGTATTGGTGAGCGGATGACACCAGTACTTCTTCAATCGAAATTTCGTGAAACGGGTGTTATAACACCTACGGAATTTGTTGCTGCTGGTGATTTTCTTGTCCATCATTGTCCAACATGGAAATGGGCAGCAGGTGATGAAAACAAACTAAAAGATTATTTACCAAAAGACAAACAATTTTTAATAACACGCAATGTACCCTGCTATAAGCGATGTAAACAAATGGAACATAAAGATAATTTGGAAAAAATCGTTGACGATGAAAATGGTGATGGTGGTTGGGTTGATACACATCATTATGCTGATAGTACTATAACAGAAGTACGAGAACATGCTGGACAAATGGAATCAAGTGGTAAACAAACCCAAGTGACAGTCGAAGGCAATGACGACAATGATGATGATGACGATGATGCTGCTGACATGGAAGAATTTGAACGTAAAGGAATGATTAATAATGATCCACTAGAAGCTTCCAGTAAGTTTTCGTTGTAAGCCTATTGAATTGGATTCAAGATAGTTTATTTATAATTTTTGTTTTGGTTTTGATATCAAGGAAAACTTATTTTTCTGTTTTATCCTATCAGTCTAGAAAAATTAAAATCGAAATAATTCGATCTCGGACAAAGTTAATAATACACTGCACCTACATATATAAAGATATCGAAACATGAGATATATATGATAGAGAAACTTTGATACTATGTGGAGATAAATAATAAACATAGGCCTAATTCAATATATATTTTTTCAGCAACTGCAAAGCCTTCGGCCGGTGCATCAACAGCAGACGAACCTGTTGGACAAAATACATTAGCGACTCGCACATACGAGTAAGATCAACTTGTAAATTATTTTTTATATACATATTTTCTTCTACTAGTCTTAATATAACTTATGACAAATACTATCAAACACCACGTCTTTGGTTGACTGGTTATGATGAACATCATAAACCATTATCAGTAGAAAAAATGTATGAAGATATAAGTCAAGACCATGCTAAAAAGACAGTTACAATGGAACAACATCCGCATTTACCTGGAACTGGACCTATGCCAAGTATCCATCCGTGTCGTCATGCTGATGTCATGAAAAAATTGATTCAAATGGTTGCAGAATCTGGCAAAGAACTTGAAGTGCATATGTATATTATGATTTTTTTGAAATTTGTGCAAGCAGTCATTCCAACTATTGACTACGATTATACCCGTCAGTTTAATTTATAAACAAGTCAACTTATCGCGCAGTAAAATAATCAATTATCTAACTCGTTTATATTTTTTTCGGTTTGGCGATGATTTTTTTTAATTTGTACTTGATTTTTTTCTTGATAAACAAGACAAAAAAGAACGAACGAACGTTCATTGATGTTTTTTTTCTCTCTGCCATTTTCATGTTCTATTTTATCCAATAAACTTATGAATAGTCAAAGCACTTGTACGTATTCGTTTGTGTCATATTGTAAAATGTAGAACAAAGAAACTCCATAGCGATTCTGGTCGACCTACACACTGTCCGTCATGAACGGACGAAAAAAAAGGAGAAATTTGGAGATGCATGTTAACAGAGCAGGACGTTCATTTACTTGAGTTGCTCTTTTTTCTTTGCATTCGAACAAGTTTACACTTTCATTTATTGTATAACTCGTCGTATGCATTCAATTATCGATACAAACTCAAATTGAATTTAAACATTTAGGTAGATGCGACAAAGTGTCCTGAAAATTTTCTATATGATTCGACTAATCTATTTTTGAATAGGTCGACCATGTCACGTTAATCATTGTGATAATGATCATGTCTGCATCCGTCGAACAGATATTCCATTTCTATATCGTTGTGTTCCCAAAAGTTATTTTAAACAACAGTAAGATTACATATTGATTTAGTGTTTGACACTATTTTCAAAAAAGACAATTTAAAAACTGCTCACAGTACTATTCGAACGAGGGAAATCTTCTAACTGATGAATTATTTTCTATTCGAGAGAAGATACACTGTGTAGGCTCATATGAACTATGGATACCATAAAAGAATGTTTTTGTCTTCGGTGTTTTGTTGAGAGTACGGTACACTTGTGAGATTTTGTTTTAAAAATAATGTCACCGTTAAATCAGGTCAGCTTCTTTTTTGATTATGAAAGTTTTAAATCTTTTGATTAGATTCTATAATAGAATCCGAGAACATTCTATGTGTCGATCTATCTAATTAATATAACGATGATTACGTCTTAATATTAGAAAAAGAAACACTGCAAAGCGCAGTATCTCCAGAGCAATAAGCTAATGACATAATCTCTGGCGTTAGAAAGATAACTGGAAAATGAATTAAATGCTGAGATCATGTTTGTAACAATAGACTGCATTCCCATGTAAAAATTTTGATCCAAAAAGTTACTAATAAGTACTTTTAATAGTTTTTCTTCTAGTGCAAAAAGTACTTATAAGTGAACCTTTTTCTTATAATATAATGTCAAGTACTGTAAAAAGAAAGTAAAAGTACTTTTTAGGCTTCATACTTACTTTCCGATTTTGAGAAGTACTTAATAGTACTTTTCCATACGACTTTGATAAAATTACTTTTATAAGTCAAATTTTGCTCTAGTCAAATTTTCTCGTGGTGGAAATAAATTTTTTAAGCCGACAGCAAAACTATAATAAAGTTTTCGACTTCAAAATTTACATGTCATCAATCCATTTGTTTTCAAATTTTCTTTTTCGTTCGCTGTTTTTCTGTATGAAGTTATCTACAAACAATGTATACAAATTCATCTGGTAACTATCTGAATATGCTCTTCTAGAGGAACAATTGATACCCTTCGCTACTATGGCACGCCGACTGTCACTCGTCTTATAAACATTATTGATGTTGTTGAAAAGTCCCAAGTCGAAGAGTTCGGCCTGGAAACGGTCGGTTCCGAGTAGTTTCGTCGATTTTGTGGAAGCAGTATTCCGGTTGGAAAATTTTCCGATCAATTCCTGCCGGAAAGCATCGGAACTTGGCAGGAATCCGCCGGGAAAGTCCGGTCGTATTTTTGACCAGAATACTGCTTCCATGTTCCAGCGATTTCCCGTGTTTTCCTGCAGGATATGGTGACTTTCCCGCATATTCCCTGGAGTATCCTACGAGATCCGCTGGTCGGAATGTTCGACATGGGGTGTGCGGATTTCGAGCAAGCCGACGGAAAATGCTACTTGATGCGTTTTCCAAACTTAGCCCATAGCTCCTAAATCTAATTCATATTTTAGTTATGTTCATTACCATCCCATAAACGTGTTATGGTGCACTAAAATCTATCTTAATCTGATGTAAAATACGGCTAATAGTTGAGGAAAAACAGCTTCAATTCTGACAATATTGAAAAAGCTAAGCAAAAAACAATTAAAATCATTTTTAACCAATGAATTTCAATAGCGCTGCTGCTATTGTATCTTGTCAGATAGTTAGATAACTTGATATTCTTGTTCTATCGTAATTAGTACGATGATTTGTTAGCAGACGATCCGATAAAAGCTCAAACATTTTTTTAACGCAATTAAAATCATGTTTATTTACTGCAAAATTCCCATGATTTGTAAATATCAATTGCATTTACATTTAATCTAGCTATCCGTAATCCACTCTCCCCCGACGACTCCACGGGGAGTCCCTGCAAAATAACGAAATCCCTGAGGAGTCCCTGTCGTGAGTCCCAGGGACTTTTTATTTGGGGATTTCTCTGGGAAGAATTGATAAAAGTTTTTTTTTAAATTAAGAAAAATTTATTAGTAATTAGATATTTCATCCATTTTGGACAGATAACTCTCCGGGGAGTTCCCGCGAAAGAACGAAATCCCTAGAGACTTATTATTTGGGGGATTTCTCTGGAGAGAATTGATGAAATTTTTTTAAATTAAAAAAAATTAAGAAGAATTTATTAGTAATTAGATATTTCATCCATTTTTGCCGGATAACTCTCCGGGGAGTTCCCGCAATAGAACGAAATCCCTAGGGACTCACGACAGAGAGCCCCTGGGGATTTGTCAGAGGACTCCCTGGAAATTCTTCTAGGGAGAGTTGACTAGGGTATAAATAATCTTTTTAGAACATTAGAAATATACTCAAGTGCTTCAAAAAGTGCAACAAATAAAAGTATTTAATAGTACTTCGAAAAGTAAAGAAATTAACATTATTTACTTGTAGAATGGAAAAGCACTTTATAGTACTTTATAAAGTGCGCAAATTACTATTTCTTACTATGCAAAACTAAATAGTACTTTTAAGCACTAACGAAAGTAGAAAAAGTAAAAATAGTCACTAAAAACAGTGAAAAATAGTGAAAAAAGTTACTTTATTTTACTTCATTACTATGGAAAGTAATATTTAGTAAATTTTTGGTACTTTTTTCACATGGGTTACCGACAATTCATCATGATCGATAAAAAAAAGTTTTCATATACGTATCTTCTAGTCTGGACAAAATTACTGAATGGAGTTTAAATTCATCATTAATTGATGAATTAGTTGACAGTACAAAATGTCAACCATGCTTAAGTGAACCATTGTATTATGTATGGTAAATCGTTTATCTATTTTTATATTATCGACACTTAAAGGTGACGGTGACTTTCGTTTAGTGGAACTGATGGGCGTGTTTATCGGTCAGCTTGTTTTGTTGCATATTTTAATTGTTTATTAGGCGCAAATATAGAAATTGCATGTAATAAAGAATGTCCATGTAATCATTCAAGTATAAATCAAATATGTTGAAATCAATTTTTCTAAAGATTGTTATGTTGTAGGTTTAGATGAACAAAATTTCGAATCAATGGTATGTCTAGCAAGGTCTTATTCGATTTCTTTAAATTGATTCAAAACGATTTACTTTACAGGACTGGAATAGGAACGAAAATATCATTCAGTAGGAGTTTATTCTATGAGTAATGATTTTTATATATTTTTGAGAATCCTGTTGTTTTAGTGATCCATTGGTTGATGAAAGTCCCGATGATCCAAGAGGACGTAAGAACAATCGATATTTTGCGAAAACATGATACGATTTGATTATGAATCAAGATAGAAATCAAAAGTGATTTTACTCAATTCATTTAGAATTTAATCAATGTTCACGATCTGTTCATCGTGAACTACGTAATCGTTTTTATGATTGGTTTCATCAAATTGAAAAACTTGAACATAAAAGTCAATATTATGGTAGAATTTTCGATTAACAAAGAAAACAAGAATATTTCTATTTATTTTTTTTTCTGGAATATTTTAGGTTCTATTGAAAATTGCCATCCGATGATTTCATATATGTTTTATCATTTCGATGCAACGAATGATTCCGAATTAGATGACGATGAACTAAATAGTATTGAACATTTGAAAGATGAGTCATGTACTGATATATTTTTTCAACGATGTGATCATGATGGTGATCACCGATTATTACCATATGAATGGTGTAATTGTTTTCAATATGCGCGTAAGTTTTCAAATGCATGTTCAAGCAATGCTATTTTCTGTTTTAATGAAATATTTAATTTTTTAGTTCTACCTTGTGAATTACATAATCAAGATTTAGATAAAGCATTTTGGAATAAATCAATGGAAGGAATATTTCGACCTCGATGCAATTCAAATGGATATTACGCAGCAAGACAATGTAACACGAATACACCACGGCAATGTTGGTGTGTTGATAAACATGGAATTTAAGTTGAAGGAGCACGACAAGATGATGATCACATGTCACAATGTGGTATGTCTACGAGCGTATCTTTTTCTTTCAACTACTATGCATTTTATATTCTTTTAGACGAAGTAGACGATTCAAGAAGAGCAGAAATAGTGTGATTCCAAAAGTTTTAAGCTATTAACACATTTTACAAAATGCGTAGATATTAGATTATTACTTTAATAAAATTTGATTAAATTAGAAATATGTATTTACCAAAAAAAGTCGGCCAAATCGAATCATCAAGTTTTAGAATATTTTCTAAACTTTATTTCGAAGGTTAATGAGTGTTAGATTTTGCTGATTTACAAATGTGGGTTGAATTTTATGTAAGGATACACCCACCAAGTATGTGAGTAAAACCACAAATACATGCATAGTTATTGACGTATGTCACAAGAGACAAGAACAAACACAAACATAACGTGAGAATAAATATGGAGAAATACCAGTATAATACTGTTCTGTAATTTGCCGTAATATTTATCTGTGTTGGGTTACTTTCAACAAAATTTCATTGATAAAACAAAAGAGAAATTCAAAATAAGTGAGAGAATCATGATGGGATAAGATTGGTTTTCTGTCGTCTAGAATAGTTCGATTTTTCGTGTTAGAAGCAAACTAGCGGCAACTTTTAATGTTTTTCCAAAAGTTTATTTGGTGACATTTCTGAAGTGATTTTTCGATTGGCGCTTCTCACCTTCCTACGACAATGCTTAACAACGTTAATTATCATCGCTGTGGGGGCGTACGATTGTTAGTAGGCAACTTGATTGATAATAGTCGCTATATAAACAATCGAAATAACGCCAGTAGTTAGCTCTGACTTGATGCCAACAGAAGAAATCAATACAGTCGTATTCGTCCATATCCTTTCGTAGTTCTTGTTCTAGAGTGCAGTTAATTCCATCGCTAGCCGATTCATTTTTTCGAAAATATTACTCGTATGTAGACATAAATTTTTTTTCATCCTGACTGATCTTTGTATGAACTTATATCAGTAAAAAAGAACAATACTATGATAACAATACATAGGAATTTATCACGTCAATACTAATGCTTGCATGAGCGATTCTTCTATCTGATTTCAGAACCTGTACGTTTAATTCTTTCTTATTTCCATTATTTCTAATCTCGTTTCAATTTATCTCTGGTTGAGACAAATAAATGAATTTGTCAACCATTTGTGTGGCCGTTCGCATTTTCACACTAAATTAAATATAATATCGTTAGCGAGCAATTGATGTAATAGATCAATAGGAAACAATAGATTTTATTCTCTTGATAAATGACGCTAATTTGTTTTTAACGAAAGAGAAAAATAGACTAAAATCCTACAGGGTAGTTCCGAACTGTTATAAATATCGTTCACGCCTTCTGTCGGGACATTTACTATTGTTCGGACGATTTCCTACACGATACATGTTATAAATAGAATGGTAGGTGAGGTTAGATAGGAATTCAAGACTTGAACAAAAGCTAATACCACATTGAACTGAACAGAATGTGGAAAAAAACAATTCTAAAACTATGTCAAGAAAAGAAAACATTTGGAAAATGTCTTACAGAGAAGAAAATAAAATATCGTTATGTATCGATGTATATTATATTATAGTGAATTGTTTTGAATGCAAATGTCATCGTTGCTCAAAGCAGAGAATCGTCTTTATATTAATAACAAAATATTTTCATCGAAAACCTACTACGCTTCACTCAAAGAATAAGTATGAGTAACCAATAGTTTAAGTTCAATCTTGAAAATAGTCAATAGGAAACATTTTATTTACTTTTTTCTAATAGACCTGAAATTGTAAGGAAAAGACGAAAAAAAACTTTTTAGAGCCAGTAGTATATTTACTAGGGCAAACGACACAATAAAGATGAAATACTAGTTAAGNGTTATAAATAGAATGGTAGGTGAGGTTAGATAGGAATTCAAGACTTGAACAAAAGCTAATACCACATTGAACTGAACAGAATGTGGAAAAAAACAATTCTAAAACTATGTCAAGAAAAGAAAGCATTTGGAAAATGTCTTACAGAGAAGAAAATAAAATATCGTTATGTATCGATGTATATTATATTATAGTGAATTGTTTTGAATGCAAATGTCATTGTTGCTCAAAGCAGAGAATCGTCTTTATATTAATAACAAAATATTTTCATCGAAAACCTACTACGCTTCACTCAAAGAATAAGTATGAGTAACCGATAGTTTAAGTTTAATCTTGAAAATAGTCAATAGGAAACATTTTATTTACTTTTTTCTAATAGACCTGAAATTGTAAGGAAAAGACGAAAAAAAACTTTTTAGAGCCAGTCGTATATTTACTAGGGCAAACGACACAATAAAGATGAAATACTAGTTAAGTAAAAAGATAGAATTATTCGAATGCATATCGTATTGTATAGATCTTATTTTAATTTCCTTTTTATTGTCTACTTAAATTTTGCATTTAATGCAAAAATACTCATTTTTGGCCTTATGGTTTTTTTGTGTTCTGTTTTAGTTAAAGATTTACTTCTTTGTTGAGCAATTAACTTGTGATACGATTAGAATACGAGGTTATTCAACCAATCACTGTTGGTGATGAACTTTAGCTGTTACATTTCATATTTTGATAAATATTTAAGTAATATATATTTCTATTGTTCTAATTCTTTGACTTGATAACATTAAGATATCTTCATAGTTATAATTATTAGTTAATTGCCAATGGTGAGAAAATGAAGAGGCAATATTACTTAATAACATTGACATGATACAAGTCTCTTGGTAATCATTTTACAATAATCTAAGTTTTAATGAAAAAGAAATTCATGCGTCTCATTAAGTAAGTAATATAAAAAAGGCGAATCGAGGACTAAAAATATCATCTCTTTTGTTAATGCATTCATCCGTTCGTCATTTAACCGTGAGCCCATATATATAGAATTTATTTTCTTTGTAAACCGGTCGGTTGTTCTTAATCAAAAATATGGTAATTCATCTAACAAAATACTCCTACACTTTCTTAGTCTCTCTTGTTTTTTTTTCATAGAGCTTTTAATGAACTATCATTTTCAAGATCCTGTATATCTTAATAATCTACGATTTTCCATTCTGATAGAGAACATTGATACATTGTTTTATTGCATCTTTCGAGATATATCTTCGTGTCTGCACGCTTTTCTTCATAATATTCAGTTGATGAGAAAAAGCTCAACGTTTAGTAGAATAATCTCTGGAATGAGTTGTAGATTAGTCACTATATAAGAAATATTCTATACGCACTAAGCTTCATTTCCCTAAGTTTCATACTACTATTGACATTAGAACTTCAGAGTAGTGCAATAAAAATGAATAAAAACGTGTTTAGTAAATTTCTAAATTATACTAATAATTATGCCGTGCTTCATAAGAGTATGGTGTATTGCAATAGAGAAAAAATCACATTAAATATAAAGCACGTATATTTAACTGGAGTTTCAAGTTCCTTTTATGGTAAAAATTTTTTAAAGAAAAACATGTAAGCTATTGACTATAAATATATTGATAAAATCGAGAGAAAATTTGCAGATACTCAGTCGTTGAGAAACATTTGATGATTATTAATAGAGTAGGAGTTAATTTTTTATTGAAATAAACGTAGTAAATTGCAGTGAAGTCTTTTATAGTTTATTATTACAACTAAAGGTATTTGCCCATTTGTCAACAATCTTTGTCAGGTCGATAAATCGAATACTTTATGTCACTTTCCTTCTCATATTTCGCTGTGAAATCTGTTTCGATTTTTTTAAAATAAGTTTTTCGAAAAGAAAAAAGAAAAATCAAGACAAATAGTTTTTTTAGAGCACGCCAAAACTTTTGCCGCTCGTTACGTATACGTGTGCAGGCGTTTTTTTTTCAAAATCTGTTGACGCACATATACATAGTGACTAGATACTCAAATATCAACTTCCAAGCGAATAGAACAGTATTGAAATCCTATATAACGCCAAAATTAGTAATCACAAAAACAATTTATAATAATTTACTGTAACTGCTTTTTTATTTTTTAAGACTTGACAAAAATGGGTCATTCTTTCCTCCTACAATTTTTTCTCATAGTTTTACTGATACTTGCGTACGTCCATAGTCGAGAATCATCTTATGATGGCTTTGATTCAAATGACTATGAAGGTAAAATCAAATTTGTTTATTTTTAATCACTAATATATCTTCATCTACTATTTATTGTTCAGAACAACAAAATTCACTAGCGCAGATGTCTGATACAGACGACCCTAATGATGAAGAATCCGATGAAAGAAACGTAAGCCAACAACGATCAATAATTAGTCATGGATCACAAAATCGACATCAATTGATTGCTCTACTTCGAAAAGCTTACAGTCAAGGTTGGAAGCCTAATTTAATTCATTATGTTCCCGCAACAAGATTCGGTCGACACCTTTAATGTTCTCTAGTTGTATGTTTATTTTATGTATGTACGGAAATATTTTACTTTATTGCTCGGAAAAAAATAGAAAATATACAGAGCGGATCATAAATCATGTTTTGTTACAAAAAAAATAAAATATCTGCTGTAGCTCATTCACATGAACTATTTCTGTTTTTCTTGTTTAGTTATAAAATTTTATTAAATATTTCTTCTCTTCATATAAATAATGTAAACAGGTTTTCCGTATCGTTGATTTTAATAAATAAATTTTGAACTACTTCTCAAATAAGATAAATGATGATGCGTAGGCCTCAATCATTATTTTCAGGTTAATATCCTACGAAGATCATAAGAAAGAATGAAAAAATAATGTGCGTATGTGCATTGGGTTATAGTGATGTATCTATTTCAACAACAACTCTTCAGGTGTAGTATCAATGTCAATGACGATACTATTCCGATATTTTTAAGAATTTTGAATGAAAGTTGACAATTTAGTAGAAAACTTTGATAGCCTAGTTTTGTTGTCATATATGAATTTCAACATTGAAACATATAGTTGTGAAATTTCAGTCTTCATATGCGCTACAATCATACCGCGAATAAATTTATGTTTTTAAATTTATGCGTATGATTACTCAAAAGCCTATTTGAAACTTTGATTAAATGTGTATGTTTGTCTTGAGAACAAGTCAAATATGTTTATTGAGGCCAACAATAGCAACAGTTGTTTACATTAAATCTCATCAAGATAAGAAAACTTCGAATAGATTTCTATCAGTAATTTAAGAAAAAACACATCAATGCTATTCTCTCTCTCTCTCTCTGTGTTTAAGTTTTCTACTAATTCTAATGATAAATACGTTGACTAATATCAACGACTTCAAATGGCCAAATGAGTTCGTTTTTCAATGACCTTTTAAAATATTGAATTTTATAAACATCAATAGTTATACGATTTGATGAGGTTGTATTGAGTAATCTACCAGCAATCATCACATAATCACCTAGAAAAGAATGTATGCATTAATTATTTTAAGAAAGGTTTGTTTTAATAATGAATAAGAATTTAAAAAAGACTATGACTAAGTGTCAATGTTGAGTCAAGTCCTACGACATTATCAGCGATGTGGTGTGATTTAGGAGATAACATTTGCATTCCATGAATCATGAAAAATATTTAATCAGTCTATGACGTACATACATGGAAAAGAAAGGCAGAACAGATTGACAAATAAGTATCGTAAATAACTAGAATGATTACTGGCAACGAGATATCATTTGCAATGACAAAAAATTATGACAGTACGAAACTTTCTTAGTAATTGATTTATTGAAGAAATGACTAAGCATAATTTAGGATAACATGAAGAGTTAATATGTATTCATCAGACATGCAGAACTATTTTAAAAATTGCACAGACAATGTATTCTTTTACCATCATTATCATAGTAGCGTAAGTTGGGGTGAATGGGACCAGTCGTTTTTCTACTACAAATAGGCAAAACTAGGTAATAATTACCGTTGTATACATGACAGTACATGGATTATTCGCAAGACCCTAGAGCACGCCTGAGCCGCCCACAATATCCTGGGTATGCCAATAAAAAGAGTATGCTTTTCATATCCGTACTTTGATTTCCGTGGTCATTCTCAAGAAAATATTATGATCAAATGTTTAGAATGATAATTGAGTAAAATCTCGAGATAAACTCTTACTCTTTTCATTTTAAACAAAACTATAGTCACATAATCTAGATTATTGAGAATCAAAAATAAAAAAGATGTGATCAGTTTTTGATCTTGAAAATAACTAAAAATTCAGTCATGGTTTGATTTAATGATAGAATTATTGATCCACTATTTTTTTCTATTAAAATTACTAACAAGTAATAAACACGATATAATTGGCAACGTGTCATATTTACTTAGAGATAGATCATAAAATGAATACGCCATTGCAAAAGTATAGGATTTTTAATGACTTCTATTCTGAAATTAAAAAAACATTGCAATTTACTGCTTTATACGACAGGTCAAAATGACATTTTTTCGCAAATTTTATTATAAATATTTATCAACGATGAGGTATTTCATGGAGACGCATATCATTCTTAAATATCTATTGAATCTAAGAAAATACGATGACTTTTATATATGGGGATGATCAAAAATAAATTTTTTGTTTGATCCTTTACTAGTAATTGTATGCTACATATCTGTATGCAATTTAACAACAAGAGATATCAATGTGTTAGTTAAGTACCTTCATTTGTTGACCATGCATCTGAGATACGAGAACAATTTTGTATTTCAGCTTGTCCTGTAGCATCTTCGATTACCATTAAATCAGCAATTTTGTCGATCTATATATATATATATATATACATACGAAAGTAGATAACAAGTTAATTCAAGTAATTGACCAACTAATCCTATTGTGAAAGTTCTATGCAGAGATATTTGATCAATCTTATTCAACTGTCTTTCTATACATCGAAATAAAATCGCATTTTTTCGTTAGACATCAAAATAGTAATCTTCGATAGAATAATATTTGCATGAAACGAGGAACTCTTCAGAAAATATTTGTTCGTACTATGCAGACAAAATCTAATTGATCTGACTAGTATATTTATCAATGATATAAAAGAACGGAAAGAAAAGTCTAACAGATATTTTATTACAAAACATGAACCCACCTTAATACAAAGTCCTTGTAACCAAACATATTGAAATTGTTGAGCTTTGCCATTGTATATGATAGTCCATTGAGTATCATCATCAGAGACTTTTCTAGCTCGGCGTAAATCGCCTATGAATGATTTTCGCCAGAATGTATCAATAAATTGTCCTACCATTATTATTCGAATTTAGTTTTTTCTTTATCAATCAATGAATCGAAATCTACAGGCAAAGAAAAAAAATCAAGCACGCCAACAAACAAAAAAAAATGAATCAGTAGTCATAAGCGAAACCATCACAAAAACAAAAAGACATATCATAGAATTTCATCACAATAAATCATAAAAATAGTCAAGACCTTGGCCGCCGTCCCAAATGGCAACACCAACATTGAGTTTACTTGCTAATTCTAATCGTTTGTAAATTGATTTCAAACTTGGATAAAATATAATTGTTTGTGGTAAAGGATGTTGTTGTTGTTGTTGTTGTCGTTTTATTGGCTGACCATGTACAACTGTTGCATGTTCATCTGTACGAGGATCATAAACAATGAATGATTTCGGATAAGATTTACGAAGAAAATCAATATAATCTCGACCAACAATAGGTTTCATTCCATATTGCTGTTGATCGGCTTTTGCTGATAATTCAGCTTGATCATAACGATAGCCATAAAAGTTAAGGCCAAGAAATACTTTGATATGAGTTTCACCTTCGGGAACGGGGAACTTTTCCATGGTCACTTTGATCCATTCTTTAATGAACGAAAAGAAAAAGGAAATCATTCAAAAATTTCTCCTATGAAGTCGAAAGAATTACAATGAAAGGTGTCTTTTCGGTCTGTAATCTATTTTCTTTTAAGAAGATTGGCACGTTCTTTTCAACTCTTTTCGGTTGACTTATTTCAGTCTAATAGGAAAAAATGTGTTCGCTTTTTATTTATAGATAAAAAACGCAAAAAACGACAAAATATTCGCATGATCTTTAAAATTAGATATTCTAACAGAAATACTATGATCAAAGATAATTTTAATATAGTTCTATTGTGTGATTATACCAGTAGGAAACTGGTTCATTTACTAATCACAAATAATACAATTGTTCGTTATCTTCAACAAGAATTTCTATATGAAGAACTTCATCATCCCCAGCATTTTGTGTAGTTAGAAAATCATTCTATTAATAGAATTTTATTTTATTAAAGAACTTATTTCGAGAAGTTTCTCAATTTTTTTTATTCAAGAGATTCTTCAGAATCCGTACTTTAACGTATTTTTTTCTTAATGTCAGCTGCTGTTAAAAAGCAAATGACTGTAAAACAGTATTGAGGTACGAAGCTAGATATTTGAATGTTAACTGTGAGACGGATAGAGAAATGCAGCTACATTATGGTTCACAACTTAATTCCGCAAGGATGGTGCTACCTGCTCAGGAGCTTCGAAATTGGGTCGTCTTTTTTTTTTATATAAATGTACTAATTAAACTTCGAATGTTATAAGAAATTCATGGCGTGATGAGATCTTTTCTATTATATGAAACACATGATTCTCAGTGAGATCTCCGGCTGTGATCAAGACTAAAGTGCAATAATTAATTATATATAGTCTTTATCTAAGGATTTCTTTTATTTGCTTGTTAGCTATATTTCTCTCTCTCTATATATATATATTGTGTTAATCTTTACCTAATGGAGCAATTGGCCCTGGTTCTCTGTTGGGAAAATCATATGTCATAACACTAAATCCATCTAAATGTTCATATAACATTTCAAAATCATTTGTATTAAACAATTCATCATATGGTGGTACAGCTAAAATAATTTGTTTCTTTTTGCCATTATTTTCTATTTGATGTACACGTTCAGCAATATCAGTAATGATATGGCTAAGTGTTGGTTTTGATGCACCACGAAATTGAACAAGTAATTCAAGTACATAACCATCAAATAGATCTGTATTTTCATTCAGAAATGTTGCAAATGTCGATGCTAATTCTTGTTTTTCATTCTCCGATTGAAATAAAGCATGAATATCATCAGCAGACCATTTCTCAAATATGATACGTGGTACAATTTGAACTTTAGGATTTTTTTCTTTCAATGCGCCAATCCATTTCTTATCAATATCATGTGTACCTTCAACAATATATTTTTCAAAACCATTTCGTTTTATACTTAACCAGACTGGTGAAATATAATCAAATTTTTTTGTAAATATTTTTGCTATATCATAACCATGAGAATTCCATGGGGTTATATAAACAAGTGTTGGGTTAGTAAATTCTCGAGTTTCTAAACATGTTGTGCAATATGATTGATAATTTTCAAGAATTGATTTTGAATCAATATTTTCTTGTATAAGATTACGTTGTAAAACATTAGTTTTGCCTGGTGGTAAGGATTGGAATGATGATGATACAGAAGGAGGCGGAGTCGATCGAGTCAATGGCGGCGGTGTCGCTGCTACTTTTTCGGCTGCACGCACTGGTGCTTTGCGACTACCAGGTCCGATTGTTGATTCAATGGAAATTATTAAACAAAATAGTAAGAAGAAACAAAGATAGTGTGCCATCTAAAAAGAAGAATAATAGAAACCAAAAACTTGATGATTGACCAAGAAGCGTTTACATTAGTCGCAATTTGCCCGACTGCCATTCTACAAAGACTCGTACGTTAAATATAAGCTGCTGTAACGGTAAACACAGTCATCTGTTACGCTTCGAATAAGGAACTATTTACCACAATAATACCGTCGTTTTGACAACGTAAAAGTAGCCGTTTAATAATTTACATAAAGAGAAAATATATTGCTTTTTGTCTGTTCTTTCATATTTGTTCGAAAAATGATATTAACCAAGACGACGAAGTGGCGGAGTAATATTGTGTCATGAGAAAAATAAGAAAAGTTCGTGTGGCTTATGAGTTGTAATTTTTCCTCGCTCTCTCTTGAGACTTAAACCATGACCAGAAATATGGTCAGAATTTCTCTACTAATAATTGCATAGAAAATATTCAGTTTTGTTTTTGACTCACAATGAAATACTCTCTTACTCCAAGGATCAACTAAATAGAATAAAAACAACAAATTAAATCTCGTATGGGACATACTTCTTATTGATAGATACATATATTTATATCAATCAATAAGAAGAGAAAAAAAATCTTTTTATTTAAAAACATTTCCGCTCAAATACAAAACAAAAATAAAAATAAATCATAGATTTTATGATGTTGGTAATGGCGCATTGGGTAGAAAATTCATCCGATGCTTTTGTGTTCGAGATTCTGTTACCTAGAGAATAAGATAAACACGAAAATGAAATTATAAAACAAAAGATCTTTTACTAGTTTTTGCAATTCATTTAATTCCATTGTTAATGTCTTTATTGCATCATTAGCGTTCTCCATTTGAATTTTTAAGATACGATTATCTTGATCTTCTTTGTTTTTATCTTCCTGAGTATCTAGACTACTGGTTCGCATTCGTGGAAACCAATCAAGATTTCTTTGCTAGAAAATGAAAAAAATATAATTTTATTCTTCTGTTTAAATTTCTAACAAAAAATAACGAACTTCAATCATTTCATGAACATAACTTTCGGGACCCGTATATTCGGTTGGATCTTTCACATGAATTAAAACCATAAAGTATACATAATTCCACATATTATGAACTTTACGTATATGATCTTCAAATGTTACGTGTTTATTATCAAATGATTTCCGATCGAGTGCTGAAGAGAAAAAGAATTCATTTTATTTTGGGTATTACAATCGGATGTGTTTTGACATACCACAAATAAAACATGTATTACGAAGTATTTCATCATTTCTTTGTTTTTCTGTACGTAAATCAGCAAAATTATCAATAATAACACCAAAAATTAAATTTAAAGTTATAATTATGACAATGAAGAAGAACATCATATCATAGATAACACGAAAGAAATACAATGGTTCCTGAAAATAAACAAAAACAATTCTCAAGTGTCATTCCTTCATAGATATCGATGTATGATTGACGTCTATCAATCATTGTTGGGGATTTAAATGATAGACTGTTGAACAAAATATGCTCAGAAATCGATAGCAATTCATTAACTCGAACAGATACAATATTTCAAATATATGTCAACCATTGGCAAAGAAAAACATTTACAAATAATACAATATCTCTCTACCGGATAAGACATCTACTTAGACATTCACCTGCTAATATCAATATCATGTTAATCCTGCAGACGTCACACCCATAAGCTTATTTTCAATGATCGAAATTTAACAAGACAAAAGAAAAACTTTCATCAAACTCAATAATCATAAATGAGAAAATCGAATCAATTATCTCTGATACAACTAGATGACAGTTAACTTTTTTTTTATCACTGCGAATCATATTCAGAAAAATCTTTTTGCTTACTCGACTTGAAGGTTGTCTTAAAACATCGCCAATACCACCGCCATTTCTTAATCCTTTATTTAGCGTTGTTACAATACACATAAATAATGTATCGCAAGCACGTTCAAGTAGTTCATTGTCGGCATCTTCTTCTGACAGAACATTCGATGTTTGACTAACAGGACTCATATGACCAGTTGTTTTATCATTCGTACAATTGTCTTTTGTACAGTATTCATTGTCATTAGCAGCTGGAATGATTGTAGCTACACAAAAAGAAAAAGATAATAATTTATTCAGTTTGATTTCATTTTTTTAAATGCAAAACACAATTAAAATAGTAAAACAAAAATACAAGACAACAAATAGTTGACATACAAGTCAAAACCGTTGTTTTAATGATATGATTTGAACGTTGGTATGGTAGAGAATGTTTTCTTTGTTGGATATGGTTTAAAAAGTCATTACGAAAAAATAGAAAACCCAAAAGAGAAAATAGATATATAAGTATAAGTGCTAATGTCATTGTTAACATAATTGATTTTCCATTTCGTGTTACTGATTTCGTGACTTGAAATAATGATGCATCTCGAAAAATGATATCAAGTAGCTGGAAAAATAAAAGTCAGCATAATTATTTTCCTTAGTTTAACAAGTAAATTTACACATGAAAAGCAAGCGAAGCATAAAGAAAATTGTCGTTTTATTTTTGATTCTACTTACTTAATAAATTAGTCTTATTATTCGATGTGACATTCAATATTTGATTATCGATTGACATTGCTTTTATATTAACTTCCATTAGAAAATCATCTTGGATAAATAGATAACCACATATAGCAAATAGATAAATAATAATCACAGCAAATACTGCTGTTAATATAACAGATTTAGCATTGCGTACAACACATTGAATTACATTCCACAATGTATCTTCACGATAGACAACATCAAGCAGCTAAGAGAACGAATACAATACAACATCAAACATTTCTATCGATGAAAACGGAGTATTTTTGAAAATCTTCAATTATCCTCTAGTCATTAAAGTAAGGAGATTTTTATAGCTACAATTATCTTGATAAATGACTAAGTCTCTCTATATTCACAGTCAATAGGAAATTATATAAGTAATATTTTCTTAACTCAACTGTTCCCGAGTTCATCTGCTCCAGACAATTAGACAGACTCTCACTTCAACTCAACTATTTCTCATAATTTCATTAATTTAAAGCATAAATTTACAATGAGCAATAAGCATAGATAGACATTTAACTTACTAATAAACTATAGAAAAATTCATGTAGACATAATCCAAGAACACAAAGTAGTAAATATCCAACATGATAAACAAGTTGAAAATTAGTTAAATTTTCATAACGGGATTTTGAGAATGTTCCATTATTGCCCATAAAACTAACTAAAAATATTCCTTTATTTAGTACCTAGAAGAAAACAAATGATAGATGAAAAAGAAAAATGATCGGTCTGAAAATAACAATTTCATACTTGTATGGCTCCCATTAACCACAAAGTGGGCCCAAGACCGACTGAATAAATTGATCTTAAAATACCCGCAACAAAAAGCATGCGCATTGATGTGGCATTTGGTTTGATTAAAATAGTAATCAAAGTCATTAATAGTCCACTCCAAATAGCTGCTGAACTTCGAGAATCAAGATCTTATTTAAAAAAAAAATCCTACAGTTCAAATTCTATTTTAACGATAGAAGACTTTACCTTTAAGTCCTTTATTAAATGGATAAAATACAGCAACAAGAATATTAATTAAAACAGCGAAATTAAATGATATATCACTCCATAATGACATTTGTGATGAAAACCAATATAATGTTGGTTGATGTCTGAGTTTTCTTTGCCATTTCATTTCTTCGAATATTTCAGAAAATTTCTCAAAGAAATCTTTCACTTTAGAACCTTGTTCATCTTGTTCACATGTTAAAAATACTTTTTGTTTTTTTTCATTGGTTAAAAATTCGCATAATTGTGGAACAGGAAATACAACTAGACAGACAGAAATATACATACGTATGTATCTCTTTAAATGTAACACATTCGAATTTTACTTGGTTCTATAGATCGATCTTGTCGAATAATTTCAATTTCAGCTGTATGTTTATGATAATAAGACAAAGCTTCATCGTCTAATGTTCGTTGTTTCATTAACATTTCAAGTTCACGATTGTGACGAGCAAGCTAAATAATCAAAGAAGAAGAAGAAAACAAAAACAAGTTTAATTTCGATAACACATATCGATTTGAATTGAATCATATACTTGATATGTAAGAATATACATATTATGACCGACAGTTTTAGCAACATTACTAGTGTCATCATTTGATTCTTCATCATGTATTATTTCATCGTTTGTATCTTCTTTAGGTTCTGTATCTTGTTCTTTACCACGCGCATAAATTTGACAGCCAACGTCCAGCTAAAATACAATTTAACAAAATTTAGTCATACAGAACATTGTTCTTCATATTTTACTAATTGTGAAACAGGCGTAATATTTCGAAGAATACGTTCTGCATTTGTACTATCATCACGACTTTCCATTACAGCTAAAAGTAATTTTGATGCATTGTCCTAGAAAATGAAATGAATCGAAATTATCGAGGAAACTTTTGTTGATGTTTACTTTTAATTCAAGTACAAGATCGTAATTCTTTTGATTCAATGGTGTTATATCATTTAAAACAATAGCAATAATAATATCAATGCCATTTGATTCGTGATTGACAATGGAATCTTGATTATCACGACATGGTCCTTGACAATATTCAGTTAGTGTAATTAATGCTTGATTAATTAAATCAACATTATCTTCGTTAATGTAATTTCCTAATAAACCAAGTAAACCTGTTTGTGAACCACAAATAGAATCGAGAAATTTTAATGTTTCACAAACAAGATTGTAATTTGTCTTATGTTTAGTTTGTAATCGAAGGTAATTCTAATAGAATTTTTAAAGGAAATTAAATGTAGTTTATAATCAATTAGAGATATGCAAACCTGAAATTCAGGATTATGATTTTCACAAAGTAATTGTAAAAAACGTAATATTGGTTGCATTATACGAAGTTCAAATACAAGTTTAGGACGACGATGTTGAGACCTAAGAATATAAAATTTCATTTGTATTTACAAGGTATTTTTATCTTATCAGCATAGAGCTAGATATTAGAATCCTTCGCCTCAGATATGGCTAAGAAAGTAGAATCTTCTATGGAATTATTAGAAAAGTCTGCTGTTTCTATAGATGTTAATTCAGTTGGTGGTGTGCATTTTTTCTTAAATTTATAACTTGTTCTTTTATATTTATTCTATAACGGAGATAATGGATTAGCCGATCATTTTTTATCTATAACAAATGTATTGTAGCCATTCAAATATTGGCAAAGTCGTTGAGTATGTTTTTTTCTCATTGTTTTGAAAATTCATCTAATTACCGTCCGATTTCTATGAGTGCAAAGTCGTAAAACCTCGACTTAAAACCTTACAGTCACCCAAGCTTTTTCGTCCTTATCGAAGATTCTAAAGGAAAACAAAATCATTTGAAATCCTACTGAAAATCAAGAACATCCATTATTTCATGTATTGAATTTCGTTTTGGTTCCGATTGAGATGGTGTTTGGTGAGTAGTCGTTCTAGCTTCTAGTGCTTGAAGTGGTTCCATTTCATTAATATCTATAGACAAGTGTAGAAAATTTCTTTCAACTCTTTTTGTTTAACAATAAACATACTACTATGAACATTCTGTTGTAGTTTTAATGAACTATTCGCTGATGAGTTAAGTGTAGTCTTCTCCTCAGTTGTTGGAATAGCTGACGATCTGTTATCGTTCGTAGTTGAACTGATGTTTGGCGAAATAAGATCCAGTCTCGATGTGAATACTCCATCGTCATAATCATCATTTTCTATATGCGTATCATTTGTAATTGATGACATACTTTTCAATATTTTTTGAGCTGTATACATTTTATCATAAAAAACTTGAAAGAACTTTTCAGATGCTATTTCACATTCATTTAAACGACGAAAAATACTTTTCTATGAAAACAAAAACATTTTTAAAGATTTATTTCAATATAAAAACAAAAACATTGATAACTAACTTGAACTTCGGTATTTCCACCTTCCAATAAGGCAATAGCTAAATGAATACTTTCTTCGAGAATATTTATTGACGAGTGACTTATAAACAATTCAACTACAAGATCACTAGCACCTTGTTTATTTAATTCATTTTGTGTTAATCGCAATCGTTCAATAGCATCTTCGTCTAAATAAAATAAATCAATGAAATGTAGATTTTTTAAGATATCACGCACAAAATCAAGATTTTGCCGAGAAGTGGTAAAGATCCTTTATTATTGCATAGTTTTTATGGAATCATTCGACTATGGAAAGACAATCGAACAATAACGAGACTATGCTCGAGGGTAGATTCGAACTCGAATTCATATGTGATAAACACCCGGTCACTTTTTACGTACCTTTTACGGCTTGATGAATCGATTTTAAATATTGTGTATCATCAGAAAAGTAACGTCGGAGTAATTTTAATCGTAAACTTTGTCCCTAACAAAACAAATAAATGCTTATGGTATAGCTATGTAGGAAGCAACAACAAAAACAAAAGTTCTATACTATTGTTTCAAATTCAGTATTGCTTTTAACCATTGATTTAAGTGAATGCATAATACGTAAGCACAGATTTTCATCTGTTTGTGTAAGTAAATATTTAGCATGTTGTATTAATCTAATTTAGTAATAGAGGATTATATAGTTTAGCTTAAATTAGAATGAACAATTTATACTTGTGAACAAACGCTCCGTGGAGAAATTTTAATCGACATTCATTTTTCTCAGGAAAAAGAGCAGCGGGTGCTCGAATAACGTCCACGAGTATACTAATTTCTGCTAGTATCAATGGAGTTAATCTGGCACTAGTCTGAGAAAGAAATGCCTAAATAACCAAAATAGCAATGAGATATTTTATTTAAAGTATAAAAAAAAGAATTTTCATTACCACAAAACCATCAATAACACGTTTATGTTCAATATCTTCTGAGTGGTCATATCCGTCGATTGAATAGGTATCACTATGTCGCGGTTCTAATGTAGCACTACGACTTGTACGATGTGACGGTAGCATTGATTCACTCATTGAACTATGATTTGAGCGTAGGAAATGAATGAGACCACGCCGATCAGCTAATAATTCAAGTAGTAATCAATGAAAAAGAGATTGACTTTTAAATGTTTATTTTTCTTTACCAATTAATGATATTATATGAATACATCGATCAACACGTTCTCGTTGTGTAGCTGTTAACCATGATGCAGTAAATAATTTTATTAAATGACTATGTAGTGATATCAGAGTTGTATTGCGATGCTAGAGAAAACATTAGAAAAATAAATGTTTAATGCGTCGGACAAATAATTCAAACGAGACAAGCATGCATTCCTACAACTAAGCAATGGGTTATCTTATTTAGCTTGATATTAGAGCACACATAAGTCTTACTTGAATTTCAAGACTATTCAAAATCTGCAATGAAAGAATACTTTCTAACACATGCATAAACATGAAATATGGATTATTTTGTTGTGTTAGTAAGAATAACGTTTTTTTTTCTTCCTCAAATGAATCTAGCAAAGTACCTCCCAAGAAGCAATTATCGATGGCGAGATATGAATAGATCGATTTTCATCCTAAGAGTATACCTCGCGAATTAAATATTTGTTATTTAATTAAGAAGCATTTATATATGTATATATGAGTATTTTAAATTAAAGAATGAATACGTTTCGAATAGGCTTACTTGCGGCGCTGATGCTTGTTCGAAGAAAGGAGAATTGAAAAATTGAGTTAATAAATCGATGACTGTATTTAAGATGTATTTTTCTAGATTGGGTTCGTCGGTTGCCTTGGCGATCAGCTAGAAATAGTTAAAAGATGAATTATATTTTGGTCGAGCCTATCTTTCACAAATAAAGCAAAACTTTGTTTACATATGACTCAAACTGAATAAATACAGAAATCTGTGCAGGATTAACACTTGTATTTTGTAGATAGTCTCATTCAAAAACAAAACTCACGTTTGACAATAACCATACAGTGTCTCAAGGTGCTGCATTATGTTTTCGAAGAAATCCTACATTGGATTCTTAATTATTCGAGTAGATATCTGTATAGAATTCGTTCTCTAATTGTTCTCTCTTACTTTTTCAATATCTGGACAAAATGACTGTTCAATTAATGCATAAATATGTTGACTATTGTAAATTTCTTTCATTTCGACTTCTGTATCAATGTAACAATGATTTAAGAATGTAACATAAGCATCTTTGACCTGAAAACAAAATACGAAATCGATTGTAATTATAAAAACAATCTAAGGAATAATACGCACTTCAGGTATACATTCTGGATGTGTTACTATTATAACAAGATCATCAAGGCCAATTAATGAATGACATTTGATTTCTGTCGATGCATTTTTTCCTTCAGTACACATTGCCAACAGATGAACAAGTTGAATGTGATAATTTAATAATGAATTTGGATCTGTTCGTTCAGTGTCTGATTTCATACGTTCGAACAGATTAGTTAAATTTCCTTTCTCATAGAAAATTAATACTTCATCAGAAGTAACCAACTAAATAAAATTTTCATAACACATTTTAATGCATTGCTTTTAAATTCTTACTTCAGACATAATTATATCTTGACAATTTTTTATATATTGATTTTCTGCTTTAACAATTGTTTGAAGAAATTTAATATATATCACTTTTCTTCCGTGTAATTCAATTAAATGAACAAAGTGTTGAATACGTTTTTCGGTCATTGTTTTACATAATTGAATATTATTTAGAAATATATAACAACATGTTTCTACTTCTTGTTCCTAATTGAAAGTTAGAAGAAGAAAAAAAGATATCAAATCACCTGAGTCACTCATATCGAGAGCGGACTTAACATAAGTAGAACAGGGAATATTTTTGTCTATCAGTTCAAGAAAATTTTGAATGTAAGATGCAGCTACGTATGATTAAGTTCATTATACATTTTTTTTTCTGATGAGATGAGCTAATGAATGATGTTCAAGTTGGGACAACGTGCACGATATAGTCTTTACTGAAGTGTAAATATCCCCGAGATTTTTTGATATGAAGTTATTACTGATCACATGCTAAACTTTGCACAGAGATAGATCCTAACTAGAATTGTTTGTTAGGGGAAAGTTCAGGTGTTTTTAATGTATTTCCATTCTGAAACAAAACCATCGAATCTACTAGTGCATATCAATGATGCAAACAGCATGTGTTCTGAAAAGGAACAGGACCGTTTTTAAGAATGATAGATTGTTCGAAATCTAGAGGTTCATTCGCTGTGTTATCTAATATCCATTCACTGGACACTCTCTCTAAATATTAGTATCATCAGCTCTTGAACAATTTGCTAATATATGCTTCTTCAATTAACTAGTGTGTCTAGACGGCAGAAGAACTCAGATATAAGGACGATGCACCAGTCTGGTCTACTGCTTAGAGCCTCAGCTATTAAATCAATCACCACACAGGCAGGCTACTATAATTACAATCAAGATGAATAACAGGAGTGCTACTATTTTCCTTCTGTTAAATCGTTTCAAAATCGATTCATCATTTGAGGAACTATATTTTTCAGTTCTGGTTTAAAACAACGCCCGAGAATTAAAACAATGACTATGCTATGTTGAATTCTATTCTACCTCGGATAATTGCTGATAATCATTAAAATATAAATCATATAGTTTCTCTTGGTTGGTTGGATTTTCATAACAAAAATATTGCAGAAGATTATGAGCTAATTTCATTATATGATTCATTCGAGTATCTTCCATCTGGAAAAAAAAACATAATTAAATGTAAACGCAACAAGTTTCGTTTGATCAGTTTATTCTACTTTATCATATGGAATTTTCAATAGATCAAGTACAACAACATGTACACCCATATTTCTTAATAAACGTTGTTCATTTTCACGTGCATATAAATTACCGCCACTCGTCTCAACAACGCATAATTTCATCATTCGATGAAGAATCTAAATTAAAAAAATACATTCCAATGTGATTAACAATCATTTTCTTTTCTCAACTAATAAATTTTCATTGAAATCACATGCATAAGCTAATCAATAGAAATGAGGCACATGCTGATCTATTCTTCCCAAGTACAAAATCGTATGATATTGTTTTTGAAATAATTGATTGAAATCACATAACGCAAACCGTGCATATATCAGACCACAATTAAAAGAAGAATGCAGCATTTCTTTCTAGCTTTAGCAAAGGTATATGTAGATATTATTAAGAAAAAAGCGTTCCAATCGAGAGTAATAGAGAAAGAAAAGCAGTGAAAGATAAAATGTAGATATTTCTATGTGTATGAAATGCTCGTTACCATGTCAATAAATCTATGTATGCCCTGTGAAAATATATATGCATTTGAGAGAATAAGACATTGGTTGATATTATCATGTTTAGGTGTAAGTGTTACGACTCAAAATAATTCAGTAGTTAGTAAGCAAAGTTATTGAGTTTTGAAAGTTGAAAGAATAGCATAAATGCTACAAACCTGAAAGATGGATGTATATCGATATGATGATTCTTCGCTGATAATTGGACCACCACTATCCCATTCTGTATCAGCAAAACCAGATGAAGTTGCCAATTTCTTCAAGTAGAAAAAAAAAGCACAAATGAAATATAATTTAGAGAAGTTATCATTTCAAAGGTAGGAGATTATGGAACGATTTCAATTAAAAAAGTTTTAAAACGAACCAGTAGCTTAATTTGAATGTAAATAGTAATGATGGAAGATTCCAGTTACTAATGAAATTTTATCTAACTAAGGCTAACCATGGTGACCATTTTCTACTGGAAGATCGTTTCGAGATGCAAATCCTCTATATCTTTGGACTGGTTGATCTGTTCTACCTATCCGATAGATACGGTCAAAAACGCACTTCACTTATACGAAACCGAAGAAAAGATTTTATAAGTAACTGATATGAATTTGCTATGCTTTCGAATACAGAAAACTAACGATGAGATTCTAAGTTTTTCAAAAACAATCTTTCGCTCAATCCATTCGGTAGGAATGTCGTACGTGAATCTACTGATGTAAAAATTGGTACAGCTATTTAAATATTTCCATCGAGTTTCTATTTAAACTATGGCTGGCAAGAAAGAAAGTCAAAAATACTTTCTCTTCTAAACTTCTAGTCTTCATATTAGTTTTAATCAAATATTTCTTTATACCTTCATTTCTAATTCTTCATCTTTTCTATCTTCATGGTCGGCATTAGCCTCAGTTTCATTTGCATTGGTTAACGTTCCATCTTTTCCTTTTTTATAAACCCACAATTCAGACTTTTCAACAAATAATCGTAATTGATCCAAATCTATTTTAATTTGTTTGTAATTTTTAATATCAGTTTCACTAACAAGCAATTGAACTTGATTTAAATGTCGTAGTGTTTCGTTACGTTGATTAAAATGACGAAAAATCAATGATAAAGCACGTGATACTAATGGTTGATAATCGTGCATAACAAGATTGAGCAAAACATTGAGAAATGTTTTTCCTTTTGTATCATCTAAATCAAGATTTGGCTCATTCGAATCAAAAATGCATTCAATATCGAATATTTGAATTAAATTTGTCAACGGTTCTAAACAAATCAACATAATAGATTTCATTTTTTATAAGATAATATTTTCTCTACCGAGTGAGCCAAATTTCGATTTAAAAATCGAAATAAGACGAGATATACGAAAATCAAGACGAATGTCAAGAATAAATTCAAGTATTGCAATAATATTCATTTTTGTTTCATAGGCTAAATCATCGAGTGTATCGGCTTGCTGTTCTTTGGTTGCATCTGCTGCAGAATATAAATTTGGGGTGATGACAGTTTCATATTTTGGCGATTTTGAATTTGCTAGAGCAATTGATGGAACTAAGTAATTAAAGTCAAATTTCTTTTTTCTTCTTCTTCTCCGGATATTTATATCGAACAAACCTCGTTCTAAATGTGGACTAGTTCTTTGCTTCGGTGAAATTTTACTAGTATCTAATATTCCAAGAAGTGTTTTGGTTAATTTAAGTAAATCTTCAAAACTATAAAAACCAAAAAATATTAAACGACGAGCTAAATTAACAACCTAGAAAAAAAATTGACTAGTTGTTATTTTCTAATCGCAAAAAAAGAAAGTTTTACTTCATGTGTTAATTTATTTTGTTCTCTATCAGCAAATGAATTCGGTTGTTCAACAACTGTATTAAGATAATCTTCAACAAATTTCATCGTTGATTCAAATTTTAGTTTGTTTTCATTTTTATCGGTTGGCTCAAGTGACCCATTTATTGTTTGATCATACCTAAAGAGAAATATCAATTCGTTTTTTCAAATGTAAAAGAAAAGAATGATTTTCGTTTTACTCATATAAAGATATAGTTGGTTTAACTTGATTCCATAATCGTGCATATTTGATGCGTGTTACTTCTTCTTGTGGATCACGATTCACATGAATATGAATCATTAAAGCACAAAATGCTGCACGTAGATCTGCAGGAAGATTTTCACTCTTTATACATCTGATAAAACAAAACGGAAATACTCTAGGAAAGGTACAGAAAAAATGCAATGACTTACGTTAGAATAAGTTCAATCGTTAATTCGGTTGATAAATTATCAATGGCTAAATATTGCCGATCGAAACACATATGGGAAAATAAATTCAATTGATATCTAGGAAAAGAAGCATTAGCTGAAATTACTTTATGGGCAACGGCGAACAATGAGTTCGACAACGGAGAACAAAATGTCAATATAATCAATAGACTAATCTATCAGATGGAAGTAGACATCTCCAGTGCCTTACTCATACATGTGAATTTTCGTTCGCGACATTTCTCAGTGTTTCTAACAGGTAATTTGTGAATTTTCGCCAGTAGGACATCCGCTCAATCTGAATACGACCCTATTCGAATACAGGTGTTCATCATGATTCATTGAAATGATCTACTTGCAAGTTGCTTTCGATTTTGAGAATGAAGATATGTTTTTCTTATTTGAATTCCTAGTTGAGCTCTAATTTTATCTTTCAGTTCATGACAATGAGAATCTCAATTCGAGATTTTACCGATTTATGTCAGCCTTATGAAAGAGAAGCAACCATTTAGTTCTCATTGCGTCGGCATAAATACCTATAATATTCGAGAATATTTTTAAATTCTTCTCGTCTTGGATGTGAAACTTGGAATCTTGCAACTCCAGCCATATATTCAATTGATTCGGACTTTCCATCCCATGTTAATATAACTTCTTTTAGTATATTTTTATTTGAAACACCAGTGGGCGAACTCACATTATCATCCAAAATCATATCCTCAATACAGGCTCTTTCTTCAAGTCTATTTTCAATGAACGAAAAAAACTTTTATAATAAATAAAAATTTCATAATAGAAAACAAACTTTGTTCGTATTAATATATCAGCATTTTTTTCTAATACCGATTTGCATATCATTTCTTGTGTTCGTGCAATAGCTTGACTACTCGATACACATAAATCTGATAAATACTCCAAGAATCTTTGAAAAGAAAAACGTTTTTCTTAATTCAATATATAAAACACAAGAGAGAAAATCTTTTACTTGCAATCTCGTTTTTCTCTTAATAATCTGACAAATGTATCGATTTCTTTTTCAGTGATATGTTTTTCTAACAGCTTTTTATTGTTATGTAATAACGCTGTGATAGTATCTTCAGCTAATATATCACAACCAATTTGAGATTGCATAAATGAGAATTCTTTGGCAATAGTTTCCTAAATAAATCAAAACTTATGTTTTCTTTTTTTAAGTACGAATTAATTTTACTTGATTTTTTCGATATTCCTGTTGACAATGTTTGAGTATTCGATAGCAAAGTCGACATATGGTTTTCACTTGATACGAAAATGTTGAATGCCGAATATCAGAATCTTGTTGCTGTTGTTGAGATAAAATATATTGATCATTATTTTGCATTGTTGGAGAATTTGGAGCATGAGAATCTGAACCCTTTATTGATTTCATATTTGATCGTTCGAATTCTAAACGTGGTTTTAATAAGCGCAGCATTCGAAATAACTAGTAAGAAATAACATTTTTTTCTGAATTCAAAATTGAAAGCAACAATATTAATTACTTGTTTGAGAATATTTTGTTCACGAATTAATTTTTGCCTTTCACGATTTGCTTTTAAGATTTGAACGTCAAAGGCGTCACTTCCATTATTTTCTTGACAAGCAAGAAAATAGACAATGTCGCTTAACAATGATATTGCTTGTCTAAAACAAACGCACGAAGACTATGAATTTCGTTGTATCGCCTTTCGAAAAATATCGATAATTATCTTATGGCAGAGTATTGATTGATGAAAAGCCCCTTGGACACAACTGATACTAACGTATATTTGAGTAACTTTCTTTCCGGCTAATTTTGAGTGTATAACTGAAATGAAATTTTCATCGAAGAGGGCAGAAACGCGAGGAATTTTATAGTCATCAAACTATTGAATGCTACTCAATGAAGCTCCTACGATTCTATTTTAGCTCTATCAGAAGTTTTCAAAAAATATGGTCAAAATCTAGTGCGACTTATGAATTTAACATATGTGCAATAGCTTCTTAGACGTTTCTAACGCAAAGACGATGCTGTGCAGATTCCTTGCTACCAGTAGCAACTATAACGGAAGAAGTGTTCTTTGAAATAAAATTAGAGATTCATATATTCTTAAGATTTTCCTGACAAAGTTTGTAAAAAAGCAACTGTGGTAAAAACTGTACGAATCCCAGCTTATTCTCAAGATCTGTTTTTTCTTCTTCTAAATACTACTGTAAGAAGCAAATGTTAAAAGCTTTGATATATATATATATATGTCGGAGTTGACTCTAAAATTCAGTTGTCTTTAAAATTGAACAGTCAACTAGTTGTGTTTAAAATTGTGAAGTCAACTAAGATGGGGCTAGTTAACTCTTAAATTTTAAAGGCAACTAGTTGACTCTTCAATTTTAAAGACAACTGAATTTTAGAGTCAACTCCGACATATATATATCAAAGCATATAATAGATAAATTACCGATAGAGTTTCAATTATGAACTCAATACCAGAAGAAAAAACTAGCATTATTCAATTCGATCATTTTTTCCACAAATAAATTCAATTTCAAGAACTTACTTTCTTTCATTAGCATGTACATGCATAATTCCAATTTTTTCCCATTTCGAAACAGTTGTATCAAAATAATGTGCTGCATCGTTAGCAAAATCTAAATCTCGTACTTCATCGGGAGATACATGCACTATTTGAAATGCTTCTTTATCTTCTTTCATTAAAGCACAACCAATTTTAAAACGTACATTATCATCATCAGGATCTAATTTAATATTCGTTGAATGCACCCATGTATTCGTACAAATATGTTGTAAACGTACATATGAACCCCATGCTACAGCATCTTCATTCCGCGTTATTGTTGTTGGATCAAGTTCAAACAGTGATGATATATCGTATGCATGTGGAATAGGTATAAGTGCAAATACTGGTGTACTTAATGGACCTCGTAATTTTTGCCGTGTAGCATCAAACGATTGATCATTATCGATTTCAGCAGCAAGATATTGTCCAGTAGCTAAATGTTTAAAACGAAACAATGAACTCCAATGGCCAATACCACCACGACATGGATCTTGCTGGACAACTTCAACTTCCCATAGGGCATTTGAAGATGTTGCTGACGTAGCCGATGCACGACCTGTAGCTCGTAAAAAGACGACACTTTTTTTTCGATAATTATCACAAGTTAAAAATTTCTCTTGTTCAGCATGAAATAAACGTACAATATCACCCTAAACCGACGAGCAATTAATAGATAAATCAAGTGTTGTTCAGGGCAAAACAAAAACTTTTTTCATACACTTTTTAAAACTTCATTTGTTGCTTCATGACATGACATGGATAAAACAATTTTCCAACTTGTTTGAAGATGAGAATTAACCTATTGAAATTTAAAATAACAACCAAAAATTAATACGAAATCGCATTATCAAATTAAATGAGACATCGTGCATGATAAATAAGGCGTTGTTCTGTTCAGTTTAAAAGCTATTAGTCTGCTCTCTAAATAGATCTTCAATGAATGAACTGTGCATCTTCTATTGACTGTTAGATTGAATAGGAAAATTCAATTAAAGATCTATTTATAAGCAAAACACAAAAGCACTCTACTATTACGCACATCAAAATAAGAATATATTTATGTCTGGTTAAAATAATAAAGTTACAGAAACAACATCCAACATACTATGATATACGAATAGCAATTGACCTAAATGATAAATGAAAAACCTCAAACAAATGCGCATGCATTACAAAAGCAAAAATATTTTGCAATTCCACGTCAAAAAAAATAAATCAATCTTTCTTTCAATCAATCGGTATCGTATATATATATATAGATACATATATATCTGTCTATACCGTATGAAGATTAATAATACTGCAACACTAAAAGATTAATAATAAGTGAAATCGTTTGTGATTACTCTTTCGTCTGTATGTATTTTTAATTTAGGCAAATCATCAAATATTGTCTTCTTCTTCTTTTTTTGTCTACATACTTCTTTTGAGCCAGGATTATCCGGTAGTTCTAATTCGCTAACATGCAATGGTTGTCCACCACTGTATGGCATAAGTACAACTTTATCACCTACCACAACCTATAATATTCGAAAATAATTTTTTTCTTTTAATCTTCCAAAGACAACTAATCTGTAACAAAAGACTAGAATGTCGTACTCGTTCTCCTTTTGCTCGTAATTTGTAATACGGTTCAATTTGAAACCAGGAACCTTCTGTTCCACTAACATCCAATGAAACACGCATTGCATTTTTTTCCAAAATTGCTGGTAAACGTTTATTAACAGTTATGTATTTATTACTTTTAATATGTAATAATTGCACAACAGTATCACCATATTTGATAACGGTACCCGTTTGTTTCCTTCCTTCAGCTTCATTTTGACGTTTTTCGGTGTCAGCCGCTGTTTGCAATTTTTTTATATCCCGAGTGTTATTATAATTTTTTAAAGCACTCCAATATTGAGCTTGCGCACTGTATCGATGACTTGGACAAATACGAAAAAGACAATCTATATAAAATAGTAATAATCGTCATTATCATTAAAATTCTTCGTTGTTCTACCTCGAAACTTTTTTGGCGGCTTTTGTAGGTCCCCAGAATCCGGTTGAACAACACAACGATCATCAACAAGTCTATTGACAGTTTTTTCGAATAATTAGAGGAAAGGAAAATAAAAGAATTCACCATACCCGAGTGTACTTATAAAACCACAAACACTGCCTTCAGCATATAAAGCAATTGTATCACCAATTTTGAGAAAACTTGACGTCAAACTTGATTCCATTATTCTATCTTGACGTTCTACTTGTTTATCTGTAATGGAATAAAAACTAGCGTGTATTTATAGTATATAGTAAATCCTTCTGGAATAAATAAAGAATAATCAACCTTTTCTGTTTTCTCTCTCACTTGTTATTGATTGATAAAGGAAAGGAAATTTATCAAAAAATTCAGAATTCAATAATAACAATAATAAAATTTCTATCTCCAATGAATTATAATTAATTCATGGACTACATGCAAAGTGGCTGATGTCGATCTATTATTATCAAGCCTTCCATTTTTTATCGTAGCAATACAAATAAGAGATAAATTGATTATATAATGGCCTTAGTTAGCTTCTCACGTTTGCATCCAGTTTGATGTTGAAAGAAATAACAAGAGCAATCATTTCTATATATATATATATTCTACAGTCTTACCATTAATGCTCTACGTAATTGCTGTCTAGAGATTGCACGATGATTTTACTGGCAAAACAATAGAACGAACATTAGGACGTTCTTCTTCCTTTGACATAAAATAAATGTACTGGTTGAGGTTTTACCAGGCTCATTTGTCGGCTTTATACACGCAAGAATACGCTAGCTATGTGATGTTGTACATATGTCAATAATCAAGTAGTCTTAATATATAGATATATATATATGTAGTCGATTCTTTTGTGAGAAAACACCTGTTGATTCTGTGTATGATGTATATATATATATATACATACATACTTATCTGATCATTTTAGTACAGAACAAAAGAGAATAGAAAGGAGATCTTCTTGGTTTTTTTTCTTTTATATATAATAATATTCATATTTTATCTTTTGACTGTACCTTCGATAATCGTATATTTGGAATTTGTTTATCATTGCCATTGTTAATTTGGAACGTACTAATAATATGGAATGGATTGAAGAAAGTAAAACATCGAAATCTAGAATTATATATATGCATATATATATTTCAATTATGATCTTTCTTTTTTCCACTCTGTATTAAAAGCTCAATAAAAATGACAGCATTGTAATTTGAATAAAAGATTTGTTAGTTTATAAATTATTGAATAGCTAGCATAAAATATATAAGAAATAAAAGCCAAGCTGAATATTGAAGTAATACAAAATAAGAGGACAATCATTTATGAAGAATTTTGCTAATCGAATAGGTCGACAGCTGCTATATTTCTTTTTTCATCGGAACCCATCGGGAATATATGTCACCTGACTTCCGAGACATAATAATTATCTTTAAGCAATCTGTTGCTTGTGTTTTGTTTTACCATTTGTTTTTTTTTTCTTTCTCCGAGAATTTTTATATTCTTTCAGACGTCAAGTACTTATTATTCTATTGTTTTCCTTTCTCTTTTTTCCAAGAGCATAAATAAATTTGAATCCATTGGTATTTTGTCATGTATAGATGATGTTTTTCGAGTATCATATTACGGAAACGAACATGATTATGCACTTCTACGCTATTCATGCAGATTTATCAAAGTATAATTAAAGGACAAAAAAAAAGAAACTGGCTAGGGCGTATAATTTTTTTATTTTTCCGATGTATTAAATTATAATTTTCAGATGTAAAAAAAAAATACTTTTTCTTTTAATTAGACTAAATATATATATGTATATATATAATTAATGAAACAAAAATAAGACAATATCTGACACAATATAGACCAGAGCAAAAAAATAATCACTAGCACATACAAGTCACAAATTATATATCTGACATAATTTACAAATAAAGCATTAGTTATTGCAATTTTTCTTATTCTATGTTTTTCAATAGACAAATAAGCGATTTGAGCGTGTATATTTCTTGAAAAACTGACGTCCATCATCGGTCGGTGCCGAAAAGGCCAAATCAACGCGTTTAATGACAATACCAAAAAAAAAGTTTGTTCTAAGAAAAAGAAAGATTTTATTATTCAGATATGTTTTGCTTATTTTATGAAACAAAAAAATATATTTGTTTCTTCTTCTTAATTCTCTTCATTTGATATGAATTGCTTACGATAGTATGATTAATCAAGGAAAGTCTACGATCAGATAATCGTATTTCGTTTGGTTTAAATTCAGAACTCTTTACTCAATATTTTCCAATTAATAGTCTGATAATTCAGTTGACCGGAGATACATTAATGTTCAATACAACAATAAAAAGCATTCTATTAATGGAAGAGAAATGATGTCTGATTCGCTGAAACAAGACAGCTACTTTGATTTCCTTCTCTATAATGGGTAGGCGATAATTAATGACTGCTTTTAGCATATCAACTCTTCATCACCTAATCAATTCTGTTATAAAGCAAAATATGCCCCAGCATACACTGTGAAATGCGCTGCAATTTACAAAGAGCGAATGGAAACGCTTAACATAAAAACAATTGAAAGTATAAATCATCATCAGTAATATGTATTTCGAATGGTTCGTATTGTTTATAGATTATCTGAAAAAATTGTCGCACATCAACAACAACAGAGAGATATCTGCCTTGGTTAACTAAATGGAGAAAGATCAAACGAACTTAACGATGTAATAAGAAACTAAGCTAATAACTCAAACGCAGTTTTAGGGTATTTTCTGTTTGATGGATTCCAACATGTAGTCTAGCAGTGCTATTCAAACCAATTTGTTGATATTCCGTAGAATCATTTGTCTATTGAAAATTCCCTATTGCCAGGAGAAGAAATAAAAACATTATTTTATGTGCTACAGCTCTCATGGGCGCAAATTACATATGCGTTTAAAGTTTCAGCAGAAAAGTAATGATTATTGTGGAGATTGAAGTAAATTTTCTTTTGCTTTTTAAGTGATTAAAGACTTACGATTTTTCATTCTATCTTATCATTTATCATTGTCGATGATGGCCTACACATAATCGTTTAAGACTTTAAGATCAGTAATGTGTATTGGTCAGCTGTGTTTATGTCAATGCAACGTGTAAAATGCTCTGCGCGCTATGCTGATGGGTCTGAAGAATCATCTTATCTTTTTGATCGGTAAGATCATCGAGTAACAACCTTTTGGCTTCTGATTGGCCACGTTGAAATATTCTATCAATTAGTCGTATCAAAAGCGAGCATAGCAGTCATTCACCAAAGCTATAATCATTTTTCTCGGAACGGCTAGAATTTATCTAATCGAATTTTGCATTTTTGTTAGAAACAAACTTTTAAATATGTAGAGTTAATTTTTTGCTTTGTAAATTGTAGCGCTTTTTGTCAATGCATATTATTCTCTCTTTAATAGAACTTAATAGATGATGAAAATATAATCTGATAAATTCATCCATTAATTTTATCGATCACCTATTGTTTAAATTACTGCGTTAAAAAGTAGATAGCTCAAACGTGATTAGTTCTATAGTATGTAAAGATCTAAAGCAAGCATTACCGAACACAATCGAGTAATTTTGTTGCAATACGAGCTCGACGATGATCAGGATGTACCCATATACGAGCTATGCCGCAAACCATTTTATCCATTTCAGTTTTTGTATCAATATTTGATTCATCATTAAAATCAAGTACATGAACCTTTGTAAAGAAAAAGAATTTCGTATAAAACCAAAAGGGAAAATCCTTCAAAATAGATTTACTCGATGAACAATATGCGCAAGACAATAGCCAAGGACAATATCAGTACAATCCTCAATATAAAAGTATGCCTAAAACAAGAAAATCGAATAGTCAGCAAACTATTTTATTTTCTTTTTCCTTACTTTTGTTTCACTCCATAAACAATTGAACGGTGTTGTAATGCCTAATTCATTATCAACTAATTCTCTGACATGTTCCGCTTTCTTTTGTTCAGTTGATGGTGATGTACTTCCAATTAAATAAATGCTTCCATCAAGAAATTGTTGCAAAATATGTTGATGCTTAAGATTCTTAAAATAGGAAGCAAAAGAAAAAGGAATACAGATATTCCATTTTCTTTTCAAGTGTCCTTCATACTACACTTACGCGTAAACGAATAGCAGACGCCGTATAATTATGATATTTTGCATGAGCTGCTTTATCTTCAGCTGAATGTGGAAAATACGCCATACCACAACGTTTACATACAATAGCGTCGAGCATTTTTTGTCCAGCATCCTATAATTTAATAATTTATTTAAATGTTTATTAAAAATTGATTCTCTACGATAAGTAGGGCTCCTTTCTTCTGACCAGCTGAGATACTTTATCAGCTCAGTTTTATAGATATATCGAAAATTAAACATAAAACTTTGTCTAGAGGTAGATTTCTAATGGCTCGACGAAAATGTTAAAAGTTCAAGGATATTTTGCATACCCTTAGATATTACTATGAATGAAGATTAAAATGAAAATTTTTCAAAAAATCTTTTTTTTTTCTAAATATACCCATCAGTCTCAAGTGCTATTTGACAAATATCATGACACGCAAAGTTAGATAATGCTAAAATCCATCGATAATTCAACAAATTTTTAAGTAGTAGATATTGTAGATTTATTTCTAACTGAAGTGCACACATCAAAAGAATGAAAGAAAAAAGACTTTTATTAAAGTGCATCGGTGAGAAAAATAATCACGCAGTTTTTTTTTGACTATAATGTACACTCTTAACATGATTGGTTAACATGATTCATGCTTCACTAAAATTTTACTTTCTGAGAGAACCTTTTCTTTAAGAATCATTTATCAGGGACGTTCTTTTTTTTTACAAAAGACATCTATTCTGAAGGACACTTTTTCAAGGACGCCAAGTCGGCGACACTAACATAAAAAATACTCATGAGCAAAAAAAGCTTTTTCATTTTCATTATTCTTGGCGAGACGTGCTGGTCTGATGATTGCATATTTGAGTTAAGGTTTAAAAAATCTAAAGATTTTAGTCTCTATTTCTCTTTCTGATCGTTGGGATAGAAGTTTGTTCGGCACATTTTTTTAAAATGTCTTTCGAATCGAAAATCTTGGTTATAATTTTATTTTGAATAGGGATTTCAGTCATTCCGCTGTAAATTCATTTCAAATATGTACA